TTTTGAATGTATCTCTGTCCATTCCGTGATTTATCGACTGAATGATTTGAGATAAATTTTTATCGTTTAATTCAAATAATAAAAAACAATGTGCATTTTTTTTAATGAACATAGAATCCATCCCGTAAAAAGATTGGGATTGGTATATGCAGTGACAGTTGTGATGTCTTTCTTTCGTGAAGAATTCTTGTTGAACAGCTTGATTTCTTTGCGCAACGCAGTCGTCAAACAATATTAAGTTCTTTCGATTGCTATCAATATTAGACAAGTCTAGATCATTAACATTTTTCGTAAGAAAAACTTTTATATCCGTTGGATTGAAAGATGGATTCTTTGCTTTAATGTAGTTATCTATGATATCTTTTATTTCCACTTCTTCTTCGTTTTCTTCGTAATATTGAAATAGGTCTTGAACATCTTTCTTTTGTAAATATTCTAAAGCTTTGTGGAATTGATAATACGATTGCTCTGGTGTTGTTGTGTACATATACAAAGAATCGAAATCTAAAAGGTTTGGTGTTGTCACCATGTTAAAAGTGAGAACTACCGCATATACACATAAGCATTGGGTTATTAGGAAATATTTCTGAATGATTAAATTTTTGCCCATTTTTTATTATTTTAATTTGTTCCAAAAATCACTCCATCTCCTTTATACTTTGAAAGATATATTCCTTCTCCAGTGCGTATGTTTTTTAAATATATTCCATTACCCTTATGTTTGACTTTGACTTCTCCTGTTTCAATACTATCTACTAATTTATTTAATCCTTGTTTAACAGTTTTCTTCCCCAAATCGTTTTCCAAATTCTTTAACTGTTCCTAATATATCTGCCACTCCTGAACCTTTTTAATTTCTGTGCTTCCTTTTCCATTACTAAATTATGTCTGCGTTCTTCGGCAGCTGTTACTTTAGCTGCTTTATCTTCGTTGGCAGTACGTACCACCAGCTATTGCACCCGCCGCGGTAAGACCAGCAAATATCAAAGGTAGGGAAAATATAAATCCACCTTTTTTTACATTTGTGTCAATTCTTTCTAAGTCTATATCATCTGTGACTTTACAATATTTGTATTTATCAATAAGTTGTTTAGTTCGTTGATTTTTTTACCATTGAAAGTTATTACAGTTGGGGAATCTGTTTCAACGGCTTCTATTATTTTCATAACCAAAGTTTCTGGTTTCATTTTTAAGGGTGTATTTTTTACTCAATTCTTATCATTCTTCTATCTGCTATTTTAATTAAATGTTTTGCTTCTTCGAATAGTAAACAATACCCGGTTACATCTCCTTGTGTTTTCTCAATATGAATATTTATGTTCACCCCTGTTTTGAAAAGATCTTCTTGATAGATCAAAACAAAAGATTGGATGATTAAGTGCAAAATCTACATATGCAAACTGAGGTGGATTTCCAAATTCACACATGTTTTTATAGTTTCTATACAATTCATTATAATCCTTTGTGGTTGGATTAATTGTTAAAGGTTGGTTAGGATAATTATCGTTGTTTAATCTTACTTGAACTTTATGGATTAAAGGATCTTGAGTTTGGTTCATTGCCACTCTTAAGACATTGTTATTCGTCTGAGAATCTGGTAAGTTCTTGAAACCAACCATTAAATATCTTGCTGGTTTAATAGTGTTAGTGATTGGCCACGTGGTGGATTCACCAGTTAAAGTCATGCTACCTACCGTATTACGATGAAGAAAAGCTATTTCAATATCTTTAGTTAACGAGTTGAATATTCTCGTTTCT